TTCTTACAATATAGTCAGTCTCTGCCAGGCTCAGATGAGAGAGGAGAGGCGAGCTGAGTTACCAAATCGATGTATTTTTTGTTTTGTTAATTAAGTTTGGGGGGGACGTTTTGTTAAGTTTCATGTAGGATGGGGTTCACTGTAAATAAATTGCTCACCTCTGGAAACCCGAAATGTCTGCTGAGTCTGCTTCCCTACCACCTTCCTTGACGTTCGAGTCTGACTACTTTACACAATCCTATAGAGCACCTTAGAGATGTGGTGGACCAGGAAAATCTCATCATGGATGTGTACCTGACAGATCTACAGCAACTCTTTGATGCTGTCATGTCAATATGAACCAGAATGTTTTCAGTACCTTGATGAATCAGCGCCATTAAAAATTAAGGCAGAAGGCAAAAGGGCCTAAACCAGCACTAGCAGTGTGGCCACGATTTAAGCTCTAACAATTTCAAAGCAGAAATGATTCTAAGACAAATATTGTGGAAGGTATTGCTCCTAAATAAAATCATTACTCAATACAGCTCCACCCACTATCCATCCAGTGTGATTCCCAGATGTCTCCCACTGACCTGTAAAGTTTCCTTGTGTACTTTCTGTGGCTGTACCAAAGCTGTACGGCAGGTGCTCTGAATTTAACTTTCTCTGTGCGGTCCTAATTCAAATTCAGACCCTGCAGAGAAAAGCATTAAGAGCATCATTTGGGTGTATCAAGCTTAAGACCCCCATGTGTATAACACGCATCTAATTTGTAGAAAGACTGCCGTGTGATACAAATATGCCTTTTTAATTTAAGCATAAATTAACTCTAATGTAGATTACCTTCTATATGTTTTTATGACATGGTGATGATTGCACATAAAATTACTTTGGGCGCTTCAGTGTGTTAACACAGTGTTCATAAATACTTATGCACGAATGGAGACATCTTAGAATTGGACTGTACACGCAGACACAGCAAGTGCGCCTTCAATGAACAGATGAGCTTTCGCATATTGTCGAGCTTTGAATCTTACAGCTCTGTCTCAGACACTCTGTCAATGTCCTTTTTTATTCTGCAGGTTCATGAAAAAAACGATTTATTCATAGAAAACGTATCTCTGGAAAAGTCAGCAGGAGTGAGGTTTGCACTCGATGCACATGTTGCACATGTTTTTAACAGCTGTCCATTCAAATTTTACAGATATACAATGAAGAAAGGCGTCGGTTTAGTCTGGTGAAGAATCAGCCTCGCAAGATTGTTGAAAAAGTGGCCTCGGATATTGAGAAACTTCTGGCTAAAAAGCGCAAAGCACTTGATGTAAGTATGTTTCCTCAAGTTTTGTATTTTTGTCTTGTGATTTTTAAATATTAATTTCTTAATGCCATAATCATACGATGTTGCTTTAAAAAACGTGTAAAAGAAATGCCTTACTTATCACAACATAAAATAATCTGGTCCTTCTCATTTTTCTAATATTAGATAAATACAATCTCAGATGCACAGCAACTCGTGACATATTATGCCGTGTCCTTATTTAATTACCAAAAATCAAACTGCAGAATTAGTGTGTGAAAGTCTAACAAGACATTTACTAAATCTAAGGGAGTTAAGAGGTGTTGATAATCAAATATACCCAGTTAACATCATCAAGTATGTGCACCTCTCTGAAAGAAAAAGATCTATCAGTTTGCTGGTCTGGAGCATTCAGTTGTGTGTTAGCACAGCGCCAAGGAGGAAAAGATTTCAGCAATGATCTCAGAGAAACAATTATTGCTGCTGCTGTCAATCTGGGAAGGATTATAAAACCATTTCCAATATAGCGAGAAATGTTATTCAAAAGGGTAAAAGCCTCAAAACAGCTGCCAATCTTTGCTGGAGTGGTGAATTTGTTGGGGTGGCTGTAGCTCAGGAGGTAGAGCAGGTCATCTACTGATCGGAAGGTGGTTCGATCCTTGGATCCTCCAATCTGCATGCCAAGTATCCTTGGGCAAGATACTAGCCCCGAGTTGCTCTCCAATGCATCCATCGGAGCTCTGAGGTCTTTACACTGGCTGCCTGTCCGTCAGAGGATAGCCTTTAAAGTTCTGATACTGGTCTATAAAGCTCTGAATGGTTTAGGACCAAAATACATCAATGACCTCCTGACCCAGTATGAACCTTCCAGATCCCTCAGGTCATCTGGATCCGGTCTTTTATCAGTTCCCAGAGTCAGAACCAGACACGGAGAAGCTGCATTCACCTTTTATGCTCCTTATATCTGGAACAAACTTCCAGAAAGCCTCAGATCAGCTGAAACACTCAGTTTATTTAAATCCAGGTTGAAGACTCACCTGTTCTCAGCTGCATTTGAATAAAGCACCAAATCCACACTTTTAAGCTTAAATTTCAAAACTTACATTTTAACTACTGATTTTATCTACTGTTTTTTTAATCAATTTTAAATCATGCTTTTTATTTGTTTTTGTTTTTTAATGTCTCTGTAAAGCACTTTGAATCACCTTGTTGTTGAATTGTGCTATACAAATAAACTTGCCTTGCCTATGAATGAATGTGTGTGAATGTACTTAGAAAGCACTAAGTGCTTGTGAGAATGGGTGTGATTGGGTGAATGTGGCATGTTGTATAGAGCGCTTTGAGTACTCCGGGAGACTAGAAAAGCGCCATATAAGAATCAGTCCATTTGCCTGAGCAAAGCTTAGAGAAACTGTGACAGTTAGCATTAGTACATTTGAGAAAAGTACATTTTGTTTGGAGGGGCTGCCAGGACAAAGCCTCCTCTCTCTAAAATGAACAGCATGGCTTAGGGTTGGACAGCTGCATCTAAACAAACCATAAGGTCTTTGCAACATCATTTGTATAAACCAGAATAAAGTGGAGATTTTTGCACATAAGTTAGAGCACCATGCTTAGCAAAAACAAAATACAGAATATCAGTAGATTATAGTTACTTAATTTTATAACCTTTTAAAGAACAGATGATTTTTTAATCAAATTTTAATTAAATTAAATTTATAAATTAAATTCTTTATACCTAAAACCTTAGAAATGATAGAGGGTGAAGTTTATTTTCACATGGCTACATGCAATCCATTTCTCTGTCCTTTTGTACAAGGATGTTTGTACAAAACCTAAAAAAAAAAGTTTTGTAAAGATCTGACCTACAGATACAAATGTTACTTGCTTATAGCGCACATGCAAGCAAAGACAGAAAAGTTTGATTGAGAACCCATTTCATGTCCTGCAAAATGCAGGACCACAGTATCATTTACAAACACCAGTTAACACAAGTCTGATTAAGTCTGTCTAATTGTGACCTTCCCCCAAAATCATCTGATTAGAGAAATTGAACATGTCATCATACTTGCTTGTCTAATGTGGCTGTGTCTCTGTAGAGGTTAGCCAGTGAAGCAGAGCGGCTCCAGCGGGAGCATCTGTGGCAGGATGAAATCAAGGTAAGTCTCAATAACATTATATTCTCAGTTTAAATTAGAAATATAATGTTACTCAGTTTATAGCTTTGATAGTTGTGCATGTAGCCAATTCAGCTCCATTTCTTTTACTTTCCATTTCCAAATGTGTTTTTTTAATTACTTGTAAGGCCTTAGTGAGTTTTTGTTTTCAACGTATTCGTCTTTACTTTTCTTCATAAGGTTTTTTGTGTCTGTAGTGGATTTGAGTCAATCTATAGTAATTTCAAGGGGAAATTATTTTTTCAAAAAAATTATATGCTTGAAATACTTGAAAATGTGTCAATTAAAAAATTAGGGGAACAATACAGTGATTACAATAATATATATTATTGTAATCACTGTATTGTTTCCCTAAAAAAAGCACATGTCATTATACTTGTCATCACACATTTCCTCACATATTAGAAACGGTACAATTTTATCTTGAATTCACTGAATAAAATAATTCAGGGGTATGTTCTCAGCCCTGTGTCTCTAAACGGGATGACCTGAGAAAGAAACATTTACACCAGGCAGCTGAGTGGATCCCTCTGCGCTGCGCTCGTCTGGCTGAAACAGATGACTGAGTGCACTCAGCCGTGTGGTTCTTTTGAGTCCTACACACATTGGCATTCCACTTTTCCACTCGGTCTGCTTCATTTCCCTGACAAAATGAGACGGGATTAACCTCATCCTCTCACATGGGTTCTCACGTCCTTCGCAGAGGCACTGAATTCCCCTGTGATTTCAAAGGACTACATGTTTTTGCTCATCCGCTACAATCTGAGTAGACACTGTTGCCTTAGGCTCCCAGTTAGATTTCCACGTCTTAACTGGCCGTTGTTTTCGTTTCTTCTCTGTTTTTGAATGTAGGCAAAGTGATTTGATCATCAGAAGATGGTACACTGTTAACATAAAGGGAAGGACATGGCCATGTAGGCTGGAGTTTTTAAATGATGATCAATACTACGAGGCCGAAAGTGTGCCAAGTAAATAGCCCCCACACCATTACACCATCACCATTAGCCTGGATATGCTGTGTATTCAAAGATGCTCTTTCCATCTCTGTAAGCAGAGTCCGGTTGTGGCAGATGGCTGCTACTAAATGAGCATAGTTATGTCAGAGATTTGTTCTTGTTAAAAGGGAGTTTTTCCTTCCCACTGTTGCCAAGTGCTTGCTTAAAGGGAGTCGTTTGATCATTGGGTTTTATCTCCATAATTGTGGGAGCTTTACCTTAGTGTAAAAAGCACCTTGATGGGACTGTTTTTGTGATTTGGTGCTATATAAAGTCTGAAAGTAAAAAGGCCTTATCAGCAAAGATTAGCAATTTTACTCTTTGGGTTTTTTAAAAATAAATATTTGTATAGAGATGGTGTTGTTTCCACTTGTAACCAGTATGTATGCTAAGCTGAGCAACCCAGCCTGCTTAGCGTGGAGCTCTATATTTAGCAGAGGGATATAAGAGTGATACCCATCTTCTCATCTGTCTCTTAGCAAAGATAGGAACAAGCATATTGTTATACATAAAGGTGGCATGATGAGAAAGAGACAGACTGAAGAGACGATCTGAGTAAATCCTAAACGTCTCCTTTTTTATCATATATGAATGAAACTATCCTTTATCGCTGCTGACAGATTAATGTTAGAAGAAGCAGAGCTCATAGGAGAAGTTAACATGCTGGATGAGCAGCATCATTTCTTTGGACTGACTGAAAAAGAACACTGACTGATAGCTCGGTGTTTTCAGAGGTGCTAAAACTTTATATTACTAACAACAGGATGACTAACGGCAGACTGATGGAGTTGTCATGTTAAGCTCGATTTAGGCTAAGGCGCTCTTTGGAGATCAAATCTGGTAATCAGAACAGGCCAAAAATAGGAACTCATCCACCTCAGTGTAGATGTCACGCGTACTCTGAAGTAAAGACAGTAACAGATGGCGATGCTCCACACAAGCCTAACAGCCTGTCTACTGATTTGTAATGTGAGAGTGCTGAACAGAAAACAGTACCGAACAATAGGAAACATTTGGTGGTTACAGCATCACAAATGCAGCTTTTCCTTTTTTTTAAAATGTAGTTTTAAACTAAAGACTTCTGTACTTTTTTTGGCTGCTGTTTAGATGAAAGTGTTACTTTGGAAAGCTCTTGTGCTTTTTGTTAACATTTTATGGATGGAGGAATCATTTTTTGGGCTGTTACTCCTCTCTGGGGAAAAATGTTTTGGATCCGTGCATCCAGCTTGGGGTCTCGGAACAGCTGGTGCCTGTCCCCCCCAGCTGTGACTGGGCAAGAGGTGGGGTACACCCTGGAGAGGGGACTGACCGGGAGAGACAGAAAACAACAAAGTCTCAAATCCCTGGATTCAAACTGCTTCTATTTGAGGTGCTCATTGGAAAAGATACACATGAGCTAAGTCACGAAAGAACGTCATGATTTATCAAACAGGATTCTCTAGGTTTTGGGCACAGCCATGTTCCTGGGAGTCTGGTTGTTGATTGGTGTGTACCAGTTTGTTGTGTAGGATGAGAGTCTTCCTAAAACTGATCAATGGTGGTTCAGAGGAGATCTGGGTCATTACATCATCACTCCCAATAATACCCCAATTCCTGTCATTATATGTTTATTTGTCTCTCCCTCTGTACTGTATGTTTTCCCCCAAGACTAATTCATGTTGTATTAGTTTTGGAACTAATAAGGTTTGTGTGTCCAGGTGTTGGATAGTGTTTCTATATCTATGTTCCTGAAAACGCTATTTCCTTAGATTTAGCCTCACAGTCCTTTTCCTGGGTGCAGACTGTCCTCACTCATTAGATTTGACCAAAAGGGACATTTTCTTTAAGCCACTTTGGGTGAAAGCTGCTGGCGTGTACCATAATGTTTCTGTCTGTTAATTTTCTAAATACAGATGTCTGCAAAGTCCCTTTATTCTCTTTCAAGGTTATAAGATATAAGAATTTTATTTTCTCCCTGCTGTACACTAAAATAATTTAAAATTGGGATTGATTTTATTTTAAAAAACATGATCCAGATTAACACAAACAATCTTTTTCTGAATAATGTGTTTGAAAAAAACAAATATTTCTTTTATAATTTAACAGTTTTCTTCCCTTTGACCCAGTTATACATCTGCTTAAGGGGGACTGAAAAAGCCTCCATAGCACATCCTTTGGTCTGTTTAAATACTGTGTAATGTTGTTAGTTAACGTCCATTCAGTCAACGACAATAGAAAATCATTAGGTGGCATTACATGGTCTATCGTCATGGGATTCAGTGATTCAACATGTCTGCTAACATTGTCTCTGCATCTACATTTAACTAAGAGCAACAACTATAACAAGGCTTGCCTGCTGAAATGCATTGGGGGGTTTTTTGGGGGGTTTTTTGAGGTAAACCTGACCGTCCTATAAGAATAAAGGCATTTTACAGTATTTGAAATGAGACTGCCTTGGAACTTTTTGATGATTTATCCACAAAAGCATGCTGAAATCCTACCATGAATAAAAAAAAGCATTTCAGCAAGTTCCTGAAACTTCAGACAATATAGAAAACTTTTCTGACCATCCAGCTAGTTATCAGCACACGTACGGCATCCATGCTCGTACGGGGGTTGTATGCAGGTATGAGTGACTTGCATGTCTGAGAATGTGAACGATAAATACAGATTTAGTAGGAGTATGCACAACTCTAAATCATGAACATGTATAGGTAGCTTGTCCACTTTTTATAAAATATAAAGAACAGAGAAGGTCACTCTTACAGATAGCTGAAAGAAACTCATCTCAGAGTGAATGTTCACAAGTGTACTCATCAGTGAGTGGCCTTGTTTATTTCAGCAGCATCGGACCACATTTAATTCTGTATATAATTTAAATTAAATTATTAAAAAGACATTGATTTGTTTTTTTGTTTGTTTGTTTGTAAACAAGGTTGTAGTATTAAAAAAAATGCAGTTTTGGACTTTCGATGGGCATCATTTTAAATGAACATACATTCTAAGTAGTGGCTACGCTTATGAAGAACTGTGCAGAGACAGACTTGACACATGCATGCATATGATTACTTGTCCTCAAACTGTTTCACAGTTGCAGCCTCTTCATATCTCCATCTGTTCTCTACTAGGAGCTGGACATGGCTTATTATGATTCCAAGGCAGAGCTGGATTATGTGAGTAAGGGACAAATAAACTGAACTTTTATTAAAAAAAAACTAAGTACAGTAGTACCTTGGTTTATGAGTATGATTCGCTGTTGCTCGCAAACCAAAACCCTCGTATGTCAAAGAGAATTTTCCCCATGAGAAATGATTGATGGACCGCTCCGAGCTCCCAAAATATTCACATAAAAATCATTTTTAAAGGTATTTTCTATATAAGTCACTGACTATGAGTATTTTGCTCATTACTCGTAGGTCAAGTTACTCGCAATCCGAGGTTCCACTGTATTTGGCTTATACTTACTTGACCTAGCCTGAATTGACTCAACTACAGTATTAATATTAGGTAGAGAAATGTGTTTGTGCTTCATGTGCTTGTCCTCCTGTTCATGTAGTATTCCATGGATGGAGAAGGAGAGGTGGAAAATCCCTCTCACATCAAGCTGGAGTTTGTGTATGACCCAAACTTCAAGAATAATGTCAACTATTCCTACACAGCTGTTCAGATTCCCACGGATATTTATAAAGGAGGTAAGTAGAGTCCCCAGTCTGTAAAGACATGTTTGCAATTAGCTTAATGTTAAGGTGTGTATTTAAAATATTTCACTGTTTGTTGATTAGCTCCCGTCATTCTAAACGAACTGAACTGGACGCAAGCGTTGGAGAAAGTCTTCATGGAGAATAGTCGAGAGGATCCGTCACTGCTGTGGCAAGCATTTGGGAGCGCGACAGGAGTCACTCGCTATTATCCAGGTAGGTTTTAGTTTTTAGGTTCCAGCTGTCAGGTAGGAGGTGAATAAGCCAAAGTCAAAGTAAATACTATGACGTGAATATTTTCTTCTGTTTTTTTTTTTTTTTTTTGCAGCAACACCCTGGAAAGCTCCTGATAAAATTGACCTGTATGATGTCAGGAGGAGGCCCTGGTATGCGCTCCAGCTTTAAACATGTTTACATGTGGGCTGCATGCAATGGATTGAAGCAGATGAAGTTTTGTGTGCTCTTCTTTGTTCCCCACAGGTACATCCAGGGTGCCTCATCCCCCAAAGACATGGTCATCCTTGTTGACGTGTGAGTAATTCTGCTAAACTCCTTTTGACCCATTCAGAGAATGAACATTCACTTTTCTTATGGTTATCTTAGTTTAGTATCATAGCTGGACACAAGCAAAGGCTAGACTGGCTGGCAATGTACAGAGAGTCCAGGAAATCGCTTTTTTCTGCCCATGTGGGTTTTTTTTATTCTGATTCTCGGATTTTTCTTGTAACATCCAGTCGTTTTACTGAATTTCATTACTTTTCTTATGCCCCTCCTGAGTTTTTCTCTGTGTGCCTCTCACTGTTAAACATGCAAATTTCACCTCTGCCCTTCTTTCATTTTGCTCCCTGTTTAATTTTGAAGGTTAGAGCTTTATGATCCCCTTTAGTTGTTGTTTTATTAACCACTTTCTGATGATGCAATATTATTGCAATTTTTAACATTTTGTGATATTCATATGATTTATCACCTGTTTCAAACACGTTATGTCCTCAAAGTTAAACTTTGTCATTATCTGTTCAATCCAATTTTTATTTATTTTTTTGCTGCAAAATGAGACGTTCAAGCTGTCACTAAAACCTGCTAAATGTTGACAGTCAGTCTGATATCAGTCGTGATTGAATGCGGTCAAGTTGGCAAATACTTGCAATCTGTTTCTGATAATACAGCAACTGTGATAGATCATAGAAAATCACATATCTCTTAAAGTCTACAGAGACTGAAAATGATTAGATTTGCACTCAACAATCTTCTTGTTTTATAGGAATGTTACTAGAATATAACCAGCCAGCAGCTAGCTGAGTTGAGTCCCCTTGAGTTATGCTTATTGATAAAGTCTCATTCATACTGATGGCAACATGTTGGCACTCTGAGTAAACAGCAGTTATTTGCAAACCTTTGAAAAAGGGATGGCGGTCAGTCCAAGTCAGACTGCAACTGTTTCCAGTTACCTCCTACAGGCGTGATGAGTCCTCTAGTTCGTAGACCCAGAGTATTTTAATTTATGCAACAAAATATCAATATTTGGTGTCCCTGTATGGATATAATGTATCGTAAAATACGCAAAATATTCTGACATTAGGCTATATCGATTTTTTCCCCTCACCCCTGGCAATTTAAAGTGCCTGTTTTAACTTCCTGCACGTCCAGCCTGGTTGTTTTCACTGTGTGAGCCTTTCTGTTGGAACATTGGAACAAGTCAGCATGATTTTCACTATGTTGGATAAAGTGTGAAATACTGCTTTAATAGTAAAATCCTTCTGCCTTAGGGCCAAACTCGATGAGGTATTTTGCTCTCTGTTTTTGGTATTTTGTTTAACAACAAGCTGTTGGCTGTAGCATCATTTTGTCATCTGCAAATTTGTATATTTCATAAATGTTTTTCAAGTTTTGCTTTAATCAGAAACATTTGTATTTGTATGGCAGAGCAGACACTAATGTTTTGCTTTTTTTGCTGAGTGAATTCAAACTCACGCTCGAGAACAGCAGTCTTTTGTTGCTGTGCTGTTCCCATGGTTGCTATTGTGGTAAAAGGACATACTTCATTGGTACTTGCTGCAAGGTTAATCCCATTATTAAGCTCAATGTGGGAAATCAGCAGACCTTTCATAAGTTTGAAACCTGGTTGCTCATCACGTGTACATTAGGATAGCAAAAAATGCAAAAACAAATTTTCAGATCTATTCTTCCATGCAGTATTCATGAGCTTTATTTTTTAGCCACATTTTTACTGTAGTTTTTGAGATCACTTTTCCACTAGTACTGCAGAAATTTGTGTTTTGTTGAATGCAAACTGTACAAAATTAAAACAGAAGTGGAAAGTAAAGGAGTGAAAAGTACCATTATATAACCACTGAATATATTTATCAGTGCCGATCAATCGCTGCAGCAGGAGAGATTTTGCAGCACTACTGAAGACTTTAGTGGAGGCATTATGAATTATTCTGTTCTTTTTAAACTGGCCTCTTGAATTATTTTAAACCTGGCTCACGAAGAGAGTTTGAAAGTTTTCAAGAAAAAAAATCTTCACTTTGAAGGAGACTTTTACAGTTACAGTACAGAACTTTTCTGTTGAGTTTTTATTTCGAGCTCCTTGGGGCGACTGTTGTTTTGATTTGGCGCTATATAAATAAAATTGAATTGAATATTGCCAGACATACTTGTATCAGGCACAGCAGTGAACCAGTAAAGTGCCCTTCCTGTGAGTGTGAAGAAGTTTAATCCCTGAGATACCTCAGTATAAAAAAAGGTGCAATTTCAGCAGTAAGTCTCAGGTTTTCAGTCTTTGTTGACTTGTGGTATAAACATTGTTAAAGTAAAATTATTTTTTCATAGTAGGTAGTGAAAAAACTGAGGGTTTTTTTAGTCATTTAATTGTTTATTTATCACTTACTGTAATTACTTTGGTATAGTATGAATGCTTTGGTTGTAAAACGTATGAAAATACACCTGAAATTCCAAAATCTATGCCCTCTTTCACATTTTCCAAAGTCATTCAATGGGCTAAATTAAAGTGTTTGCTGACCCAATTTTGGTCCCTGAGCCTGAAATTTGACACCCCTGTGTCAGACTATGCTCTCCACAACTGTCGATTGGCATAAAAATGGATAAAATTAGATCGTGTTTAGCATCATTTTACGAGTTTTAACTACATCTGAGCCAAAACCTTTAGGATTAGTTAATACTCTTGACACATAAATGCGTAATTTTTGCATTCCCTCATACAAAATTATCTTCTTGCCTTTTGTTTGTCTCCACACAAGTATTTATTTAAGCATGTTTATTCTGATGTTTCCTCAGGAGTGGCAGTGTCAGTGGACTCACCCTGAAACTGATCAAAGCGTCAGTGATGGAAATGCTGGACACTTTATCCGACGATGACTACGTCAATGTGGCCAGGGTTAGCATATGCTACACTTACTGAATCTGAACACTGGTTTTCCATCATTTCCCCTGTTGTTTTCAAACTGCGTCTGCTCCTGTGTTTCAGTTTAATGAGAAGGCTGTGGCTGTGGTCCCTTGCTTTAGCCATCTAGTCCAGGCTAATGTGCGCAACAAAAAGATTTTCAAGGATGCAGTGCAGCAGATGCAGGCTAAAGGCACCACTGACTACAAGTCTGGATTTCACTTTGCCTTCAATCAGCTATTAAATGCAAGTCATCTATACTGATTTTGTTTGACTTGGCATTATGTGATAAAATAAAGGTTCTGCATGCAGTTTTACTGCATTGACTGACATGTGCATTTTGTTTTTTCCTCATTTTCAGAAAACAAATGTCCCCCGGGCTAACTGCAATAAAATAATCATGCTGTTTACTGACGGAGGAGAGGACCGAGCTCAGGATGTTTTCATGCAATACAACTGGCCCAACAAAACGGTCAGTTTCTCGTGCTAATCAGACACCTCTCCATTACCTCCTGCATTCGAGCAGGATGTTTCTGTAGTGTCTAATCACCCTATGACAGTTAATTTGACATTTCCTCTATTCACCCATGTCAGGTTCGAGTATTTACCTTTTCTGTGGGCCAGCATAACTATGATGTCACACCCTTACAGTGGATTGCGTGCACCAATAAAGGTAAGTTCAGCTTCATATACTGTAGACTACAAAAGGATTCAGTCCATGGTATTAAAAACTGTTTTGAGATGATAAGATAAGATGATGAGAGGATGTATTCTGTGGATCACTTGATAAAAAAAGGTAATGATAAATAAAAATATTTGTAGTTTTACTACTTTTTTGTTTTTTGTGGCTTCATGCCGAGAAAAGGCACTGAAATGTGTGCAATGTTTGGCTAGATGAACTTGCACTATGTCTTTGAGGATCTAGCAAAAAGCATATAATAGGGCATCAAAAGAGGGTTCTGATGACACTCTGGGTCAACCATGGGTCAAGCATTCAAAGCAGCTGACATGCAGGGAGGTTAGAGTGGGTGGAGATGAAAATCAGGGGTCATTTGTGACTGACAACAGCAAGAGTGAAAGGAAAGCTTTATAAGATGGTGGTGAGGCTTGCTGTGGCACAAACACAAATACAGGAGGCCGAGCTAGAGGTGTCAGACTTGAAGATGCTGAGATTGTCATCGTAATTGCCCGGGTGGGACAGAATTAGAAATGATGACATCAGAGGGACAACTCGGGGTGAACAATTTGGAGATGAAGTTAGAGAGACAAGGCTATGATGGTTTGGACATGTGCAGAGGAGGAATAGTGGCTATGCTGGACAAAGTTAAATATGGATCTGCCAGGCAGGAGGAATAGTGGACGACTGATGACAGTTCATGGATGAAGTGATGAAGGACACGCAGAGGGTTGGTGTGACAGAAGAGAATGCTAGGGATAGGGTGAGATGGAGGCAAATGATCCTCAGTGGTCATCCTTAAAAGGAACAGCTGCATGAAGAAGTTTTTACTCATTGTTATGAGTTGAATAAGAAATCCTAAACATCAATATCTGTAAGAATGGGAATAAATAAGAATAGAACCAATAAATAACCGAGCATAATGTAAAACACACTGATCCTGTTAGAGGACTTGACTTTAAGGAGGTGCTGGTACTCACAGAGAGGTCGCTACCACAGTTTTGTTTGTGTAGATATTTTAAGGCCCAACAGTTACTCACTGACACTGAAAACCTCTTTGGCGAGAACGTGGGGGAATGTGGTGCATTTGCCAACGCCTTGAAAAATTCATGCCCGCCGAGTGATATTTTGACCCAAGAGAAAAAGCCTTGTCAGTGTCCTCCTGGTTTGCTAGTTTTGACTGAATAATTGATGGTTTTATAAAATAGATCAGCTGAGCAACACGTGTTATATTTTGTTAGCCGTTAAACGTTGTGAGGTAAACTCTCTGCGTCTCACTGCTTTGACCTTCAAACCTTCATTACAAATTCTTTAAAAATCTAGGAAATCCCTTTGCAAAGTTTGCAAAGACAATAAATATGTCAGGCTGTGTTTTCAGGAAGACAACCAGAATATTTAAAAATGCACCATACATTTTTTTATGTGTTTGGAATTATGAAAAAGACAAGCATATGGACGTGGGATAATTTGAAACAATGAATGTTAAGGATGAGGACTGAACAGTCTCAGTCCTCATCCCATCATGAGATCAGTCATTGGAGATTTTAGACTTCCAGCTGATTGAATGGTCTTGACTGAATTTCATGAATATAGAAACCTCTGTGTTAAAGCTCAGTAGTTTTCTTCTTTAAGCTCTTTAAGCTTCCTACCTGCGGGATTTTAAAGGCTGAGTCACTGGTCTAGTATCATCCAGTCAAATCTAGAATATTTATGAGCACCACTCCAGTGTTGTTGATTTTTTTTTTTTTTTGAAAGAACCGCTCACACATCTCCAATCTCGCTCTCTCTCTCTCTCGCTCTCTCTCTCTCGCTGGTTGTCTTTTTTTCTTCGCCGCTTGCCAGGTTACTATTTCGAGATCCGTTCCATCTGCGCTATAAGGATTAACACCCAGGTGGGTTTGTCTAGTGCCTCTAATACAGATGATGCCTGTTTGCTCATTCTCTTTGTGGCACTCGCTCGTCCTATAGAAACATCTATGCTCATTTGTTTGCTCAGCCTTCTCCCAGAAGCCTGATGTTGTCGGTTGTTTTCAAGCTGCGGCCTGTCACGTTTCTCTGTGTTTTGTCAGGAGTACCTTGACGTGCTGGGACGCCCCATGGTTCTGGCAGGCAGCGAAGCCAAGCAGGTTCAGTGGACCAATGTGTATCAGGATGCTCTGGTGAGACGGCATGAGCTCATCAAATATACCTAATCCATTAAATACACAATAAGCTCATATAATTTCTAATAAATGTTTTGGGACTTTATCTTTGCACTCTGCAGGGTCTTGGCATGGTAGTAACTGGGACTTTGCCTGTTTTTAATCTCACCATGGACGGAAACTCACAGGTAACAAAACAGGATAATTATATTTGAGCTTAGGTGGATGAGATGGTTTTGCGAGTTACTTATTTTCTTCCTTTTGTCTTAGTGAACAAATACAGACTTTAACTCTAGTGTGTAATATCACTTATTATTTACAATTACTAATGTTTGTATGGCAAAAACAAATATTAGTGTGATCAGGATGCTTCTATACTTACTAATATATTACATGTGATTGAAGCAGTCTGTATAGAAAGGACACGTTTACATATGGGTGAGGTGACTTTCTGCTGCTAAAGTTTTCTAATTGGCTGCTGCTTCCAGCTTCATCAGGAAAAGCAAATAAGCACATCATTTAAAGTGTGACAACTAGTTTGAATAGAAACAATATATAAACAATTTATTTAAATGACTAAATGTACGGCTGCTGTTTTGTCTTTTTCACAAGAATCAGCTGATTTTAGGTGTCATGGGAGTCGACGTGCATCTTGATGAGATAAAGCGACTCACACCGCGGTACAATGTATGTGCATAAGTCACATTTTTCTTATTTATAAGCTGAGATGGACGAAGAAGACCAGCTCTTCACTGCTATTCCTTCTTTTTCTGTGGTTGTCACAGCTCGGGGCCAACGGATACATATTTGCCATCGATCCAAACGGATACCTGCTCCTTCATCCTAATCTCCAGCCAAAGGTGATTCAAATCTATTTCATTTGGTAAAATGCTTTATTTATTCTGTGGGGAGCTGCTTTAAGAAGAAGAAAGTTGGAGGATGGGGGAGTTTTGGGTTTGGGTTTTAAGCATCAGTGATGATGATGATGAATAATTAATAATATAAGGCTATGTGTTAATATCGCGTTCTCTCTCAACTCCTCTTAGCTTGTGAATCTGCCAGAACCTGTGACGCTGGACTTTCTGGACGCAGAGTTGGAGGACAGCAATAAAGAGGAGGTGAGGAACAAGTAGAGCTGTTTTGTTGATGCATGCTCAATCATCCAGGTAAGTAAATCCCCAAAAGTAATCCTGTTCATCTGGATGTAGCGTTTCTGTTGTTGAATTCTTTGTTGTTCAAACTTAGTAATTGTGTGAACAACATGTTTCCTCCTGAGGAGAATCTGCCCAGCAGGATAAATTGTCTGTGTAGGTCATTGAAAGTCGATGAGAACATATCTGTGGCCGATTTAAAGAAAAACTTTGCTCTGTGTTTCCATCGTGTAGATCCGCCGACAGATGATCGATGGAAGACCAGGTGAAATGCAGATCAAAACTCTGGTACTGTCGATTGACGAGGCAAGTCACTTCTCTTTCTGAATGTCTGCACGCATTTCCTCTTTAGTTTGGACTGCAGCAGTTATGAGGAGTTTAACACATGTCATGATGACTCATACTCATAAATTTACAGTGCTGTGTGGTGGGTCCATGAACAAACTGCTTACACAGTTTTTTTAAAATCACTTTATTTGAAAAAATAGACCTAGAACTGTAACCAACAACAGTGTTTTTATTTAGAGCAAAAATCCAGACTCTTTTTTATCCTTGCAAGCAACCAAAACTGTTTTTGGTCTATAAGTTCCTATTATAATGTTGATTATTTACGGCTGATTATCCAGTAGGAGGTTTTTGTACCAACCTGGGCTCTTGCTTCTCTTAAATGCCTGCTGATGTCTCAGTGCTGTTTCCTTTATGTTTATCTGTATGTGCATTTGATTTATTTATTTATTAGTTATGGGGGCTCTATCTGACAGTTGGGTATATTTCTGTGTTGTATGGGGCATGGGGATGTTTTATCTCTTTTTTTTGCCTTTTTGTTCTTTATGTAAACGCTGTATGTTAAAGATAAGCTGCTTAGCCTATACAATCACATCATATTACCATTCCTGCATGCTGAAATAAGCGGCTGAAGTCTTGCATTGTCTTTAATTCACAGGTTTTTAAAATAATAAAATAGTTTTAGGTTATATAAGGTCCAAATCTTATTTAATAAAAAATTAGGTATATTTGAGCAAATTTCATACTCTATCTGCAGAAACTGCTGACAGTCTGGTGATCTAAGTTAATCAAATTCTTAAAGGAGCTTGTTATGTGGACTTGGACTGTGTGTAGAAACATAAACGTGAACATTAATTTTACAATGTACAACCCAGGCAGGGCTGCAGTAGTCTGACGAATAACAAACACAGTTTTTGAAAGTTAAAAATGCTTAAACTTTGATCACTGTACTTTATTAGCTTTGCCTCTTATGTTTATTGAAATTCTTTACCTCTGCAGCGCTACATCGATGAGGTCTACAGGGGTTACACCTGGACTCCTATCAATGGAACAGACTACAGGTGAGCGGATAGAGAGTCATGAATCATGAATAAAAACCAACCAGCTGTGGCCCAGTGAGGCCTGCAGGCACAGATTGATTCACTCTAAGACCCACCATCTTTTTGTATCCCCCATTCATACTGGAATCCTGTCGGGATGCTGCCACCTGCAGTCTCGGTCTGGTATTACCATCCTACAATGAGTACTACATCAAGGCAGATCTGAGCGATGTGATGCTGCAGCTCCAGTGTGAGTACATGGAGGCAGGGTGTTCAGGTTTACATCCAAGGAAACCAGAAGCATTTCACACTCTCTCTTCTTTCGTGTTACAGATATGCAGTCTTTGCTGCCCAGCTCCTTTGAATCATCAGGGCACGTGTTTCTAGCTCCAAGGTGACTATCTTCATCTGTCATGATTTCATTCTTCAGTAAAAGGAAGGTGCTTATTTATGCTGCCGTGTCCGCAGGGAATACTGCAAGCGTCTGCAGCTTTCTGACAACAACACCCAGTTCTTGCAGAACTTTCTGTCTCTCATGCTTGACCTCTCCCCTGAATCTGATGAGTGTGAGTGCGTTAACAGAATGAAAATATCTCACTGCTGTAGACACACCGATAAGATATTCACCACATTTTTTAAAAATATTTTGCAGGTGACCATGGCCTGATCCACAACCTGATTTTTGATTCTAGGATCATCGGGCAGCTTGCTTCTCGTGTATGGAAGAACAAGGACCTCAATTCGTAAGTTTGGTTCTATTGTTGTTGTTGTTGTTTTTTGTGTAAACTACTATAGTGCAAAACTAGAGCTGAAGAAGTAACAAATGTTACAGGTATGGCTTCCTAGCTGTATTTGCATCCACAGACGGAGGAATAACACGAGTTTTTCCCAACATGTGAGTGATAAAAGTAATTACTTATTCAAGCTCCTACAACTTTCCACTTGAAAACTTTTGATGACTTGTGTTCACGTGTTTTTGTAGAGCTGCCGAGTTGTGGGATGAGGACCCTGAACCCTTCAATTCAAATTTCTACAGACGGAGCCTCGACAACAAAGGCTACATGTTCAGATCTACACTCAGATCCTGTGAGTAACTAAGCAGCCAGACTTCACTGACTCAAAGGAGACGCTGATGTAAACGTTACTAAAACAATAGTTTGTCTGGTGAGTCGGGGTAATCATGAGCTTGGCATCAGCTGATATTTCAAGCTTATATTTTGTTATGTTTCATACTATTTTAAATAATTAAAATAGTGAGCATTACACATGCTGGTAAGCACGTTTTGTTACATTTGAGCAGAGACAGGCTCCCGCAGTTCCCTAACTTTGTGCAAAGCTAATATAAGTTGCTTCTCTGCTTCAACTTTGATGTTTATTTCGAGCCGCCTGCCACTGAATTAGGTTTTAAAAAACATTTTTAAGGAAATCACTCAAATGGAAACTCTCTCAGGTGTCATTACTTGATTCCTTTACCTATACTTTGATCGTGTTTCATAGAACGTTTATGCAACATCTTAATCCCAAGATCTTGGCTCATTTCAGCCAATTGTCTTATTTTCATGTCCGTGTATTTCCACCAGCTTTGGATGACCCCATTGCAGCAGAAAATGGGACGAGTGAAATTGTGGTTAGTTCAGCTGTGGAGGTTAATTTAGCAGGAAAACTGCTCAGACCTGCAGGTAAGATTTTTATCGGGTCTGTTATACATATGAAATTGGGGTTTTTGGCTTGTTGTGATTCCTGTTCTCATCCCGTTCTCCTTTTACTCCTGTGGATGTCGTCCTGCAGTGGTTGGTGGGAAGCTGGACTTGGAAGCTTGGGTGGATAAGTTCAAAATCCTGGCCAGCAACATGTCAGACGGCCGGCAGGGGTCACACAAGGTACAGATTCTGAGTCTAAATCACCTGTTAAAAGCAAATTCACCTAAAGAAAAATCTCACATGGTCTCATTTTGTTAAGCAGTGTGGACCTCTGAGAAGTTGCGAGATGGATTGCGAGATGGACACAAATGTAAGCACTTTTCTTTATTTCACTCTCTCGCTGCACCGCAGCAGGACAGTGCCATCGGTTTAATGACCAATCTAAGGTCCCTCAGTGGTGATTAACTTGATGAAACTGTGATTAATAGACTGGCCTTTTATTTCACGTCATTCACAGTTTGTAGCCCAGAAGAAAACTGTTGTTGCTGCTTGTTTCTCTTTCAGACAACTCACAGAAAAAAGGAATTCTTATAAATGTGTCCAGCGTGATTAACATAATCCACACTGCTGCATGTAAATGGTTATGAGGGTGATTAAAGCTCATAAGAGCTCACTCATGAGTTGTTGTCATAAATGTAACCTTTTTTTTTTTTAAAGCTACAATGTTTTTTCTTCTTCTCTTTTTTCTCTATAAACTGTTGGGAATCAGCCTGTAACTTCAACTGCTGTCAGCTGAATGCTTGACAGTTCTTGTCACAGCCCCCAAGCCTTAAGGAGACCTTCACACATGATTTAAAATGCAAATTACTGCAATCACAAATGCTTCTACCATATTATTTAATACATTTCAATATTGTCCAGAATGTAATAACACATATTAACTAGTAAAGCGCTATATAAATACAGGCCATTTACCATATTACATCTTTTATTGATTTTTAACTGTCTGTTTTCGCTCTAGTAAGATCAAACTTTGTCTTTCTTCCTGTGTTCTGCTGCACCCACACTGTCTTCTGCAGGAACTCGGCTGCTATCTCATTGATGATGGTGGGTTCCTGGTTATGTCCAATCAGGCAGATCACTTCCAAAAGGTATGTCTATGTGCTGTAATGTGTCTACCCTTTATGATGCATGTCATCCATAGCAGGGGTATCAAACATAAGACTCGGCACACCAAAGACTCCGATGCAGCCCAGTGGAAAATGAGGATTTAGGTAGAAAATGTAAATTTGGGATTTTCGTGAGTTTTAGAGTAAGTTTTAAAGACCTCATACTGCAAGTGATGATAAAAAGTCTGGGCAATGAGCTACTGGGACTTTTCCTGTAACAAAAAAATCATTGCCAGGATTTTAAATTATGAAGGAAATCTATGTAAAACTAATTCCTGTGAAACAGGAAGCTCAGTGGTTTCCAGGGACTTCTTTCCACTTTAGTGAGGAGCAGCAGTGCATTTGTCACAGACACAGCATACACACCTGATCAAACTGCAGTCCTCTTGCTCTATAGATGTGATTTAAAAAGTCTCTGCTTGATTTGTGCAATAATCATCTATTTCTTTCAGTATATAAAAGAAACCTATAGTATGGTCGCAGGAAAATAACAATTTATATTTTAAAACACCTTTAGTATTTCTTGGAGCAGACGTTTTCTACTTGCATCACCAGTTTATCTCTTTCCCTACACCTACTCATTGGATCTTTTTATGCCTTGTATCACCAAATAAAGTAATCATCGTGTATAGTTTAGTATGTACGGAGAGGCCTAGGTGTAGTCTTTGTTGCTCTGGATATTCTATCCTGTAGCGGTTTCAGACTCAGACATATATGGATGAATTTGAGGGGTTCATCAATCAAAAAAAAAGAGGAACTTTGGCACTATGAAATATAAAGTGATTTGGGATTTTTTAAAAATCTGTGAATCATGCAAAGCTTCTATAATTTTGAGCTCAGTGTTGAGCCATTATTCTCACGTTTTTATTGCTCCCTGTAACTGTCTTATTGTCCTTCTTTTTAAAAAAAATCTCAGATTGGTCTTTTCTTTGGCGATGTGGACGCTCCCCTGATGTATGCCCTCTACAACAATTCGATCTTCACTCGACGGCAGTCTTTCCAGTACCAGTCTGCATGTGAGCCGGTCAGCAGCAGCCACACCGGCGCAGCACCGAGAGGTGTTTTTGTGGTAAGAGACAACATCAGGCCGTCAAACTCTGAATGATTAGACAGTCTGAGACGTTTGCCTTCATTTCTTAATTTTCTCTGTCTCTCCAGCCGTCCATTGCTGATGTTTTGAGCTTGGCATGGTGGACATCAACAATGGCATGGTGAGACTTTATTTGCAGCAAATCAGATGAAATCTACTTCACTTTATGTCTTTTTAAAACAGTCTTTGCTGTGTACATGAAAGTGATTTTATATTTTTTGTGTTCGACAGCTCCTGCACGGTTATTTTGAGCTGTTTATATATAGCTCTGAGTTTACTGTTATTGAACGATGTTTTCTTTCTTTAACGTCTTTTTCAGGTCTGTGTTTCAGCAGCTTCTTTATGGACTGGCCTATAACAGCTGGCTCTATCAAGGTGACATGCATGTGAACTGATGTATTCCTTATTGTTTTATGTGGTACACAGTAAGAAAGGAAACACACATTGGATGAATAGTAAACTTTCAGGAATTTTGCTGTATTCTTACTTTGTTATTTTCCCGTCATCATTAAGTAAGTGTTCGACTGCAACTAAATAATGTCATTATGTTATGAGCTGATTTTGAACATGCTCTTGTTTCTTTAGCTGATGTCCTCATCGAAGGCTTTGAGACTAAAGAAAGCAGCTGTGTGACCATCCAAAGCCAGTTCTACTTCACAAACACCACAAACTCCTACAATATGCTGCAGGACTGTGGAAACTGCTCCAGGTGAGTTTTCTACAGAATCAGCAAAATCCGCTTGCAGTGTTTATGAGCTCGCAGCCCTGTGCTGTCCATATGGAGCTGGCTAAATACTTGTTACTGTCTCCTACAGACTGTTCCATGCAAAGAGGATCGAAAACACAAACCTGCTTTTTGTGGTCGCCGAGAAACTGCTCTGCCAGTCGTGTGAGATTGAGACACTGACCCAGGTCAGAACAGAGTGTATCCTTTCTGCTGTCGAACACTTCTGACATTTTCATTTTTGTAGAGGTAGAAGATATGTTTTTATGTTTGCTGTTACCGCCATAACCAACAACCAACAGTTCAGGAGGAAAATCCGTGTGAAGTATTGAACAATACACGATATCGTAAAGGCCCGACTTCCTGCTTTGACTACAGTGCCTTAGTAAGTGCCTGTGCTGTTATTATTCAAAGGAATCATTTTGTGTCTTAGTCCTGAGCGTGTGATCGGAAACTCTGAGAAAAAAAAAATTGTAACGTCACACAAACCATAATTATCAAGAATAACCAATTAAACTACTATCCAGTGACAACTATTTGAAAAAATACAGAGACCTGCTACTAAGGAGGTATATTAGATAGTGATTAAAGTTGAAAATTCAGCAGTAAGCAAAACAATGTGTGGCTCTTCCATTCAGTTGCTTTTGCATAGTAAGTGAACTAATGTCCTAATATCCTATCCTAATGTCCTAAACTAAAGTCCTAATGCTCCCATAACCGTTGGCTAAAGCTAAAACAAATTATTTTGGTAAAACTGAATATTAGGGTTTGACACCCCCTGAAAAACATACTGTGGTGTTGTTCCATTGCATGGTCAGGATTAAGACACATTTTCTTTCTGTAAGACTCCAGGGTCATTAGTTGTGGAGAACAAAAGGATTCACTTTTTACTCTCTTTGCAGGAAAACACGTCAGAGTGTGGACGAGGTCATTCCCTGCAGTCCTCCATAGGAGTCCTCCTCTTCATTCAGCTCACTCTGCCTCTCTTTCATCTCTCACACATGCAAACGCTCTGGCATTTTTGATCTCTGTAGGTTAAGGCTCGGATCTACTGAAGAGTAGATCAAACAGCAACTGTAAAATTCTTCTTTTCTGAACTACAAACAGCTCACAGAGAACAGTGCTTGGAAAGAAACCCCTGGATCAGCTCATAGTGTCTTTTGCCTTATTGCTAATGCATTTCTTGGTGTTTCGGGGCTTGAGTGCAAAACATATGATTATAATGCGTTGCGTGTGCATGCTATTTAAACTGAGACAGCATCTTTACATTTTTATTTATTTATTGCATAAAGGCTTAGCCACGGCAAAAAGTCAGGGAGACGACCAAAGCCACCCAGCAGTAGAAGATTGTTGATCACGTTTGTTTGACTGTGTTTCACTGTCTAGAATCTAATGTGGCAGCAGAACAGTGTATCATATTATTACATTACTCCCTGAACTTCCTAGATGTGGTTAAACACAGTTACTTCATGATTTAGCTTTTTCACATAGGGCCACCTAGGTTTCTATAGCTTTTTTTTTTTTTGCTTAATAAATGCAATTATAATTTATAAAGTGCATCTGTATTTACTTGGGTTATCTTTGAGAAAGGACTCAGGAAAGGAGGAAAATACTTTTTCACAGCACTGTACAGTTTATGCTAGCTCGTAGCCTTCGTCCTCCCGGCCTTTGCAAGTGTAGAGCTGTGTATATATATATATATATATATATATTATATATATATAGCTGTATATAAAACCCATGGGATACCTTTGAGATGCATGGTATATTTTGAATTCTAGTAAAGTACAAGAAACCTAACACTGTATTTACAGGTAGTGTAAAATACGTAATTATTACTTTCTACCACTGAACGTACGAGGCTGTACGCACCATCACCTTTTATTCTGAGGAGCTCTGAGTGGCTTAACAGACGAGTAACAGTTAAATAAGGACAGTACCAAGAGTTTTTAGAGCTTTCAGTACTTAACGTTACTGATCAGCTGAATATATTAAAATGTATATGACTTTTCAACCATACAGTGTCACAGTGTTGTTAACGGTTCAGATAAAGGGCAAACTAACATATTTAATGGCGTATAGATGGAGATCAATCACTGCCTTGAAAATTTTAATGAAAAAGCTGAATCTGCTGCTGGGTGACTTGAAGACTCCCACCTGTAGGCTGCTCAGATGTTATTTGTGGCACCCATGCTGTTGTTGGCTTGAAATGAATCCCTTGCACCTGTTTGTATTTGCTCGTTCGGTCCCAGCAGATGTCTTTGCACATACAGATCAGGAGGCGCTGCACTTACAACTGTTTTTCACACGACGGTAGATCTGGGCCTTCAACCCACATTCACTTCAGTGTCTTTTGATCCAGTTCTGATCTTTGCCGAGCCAGTTTTAGTACTAAAAATTGGGTCATGCATGACAGGACCCCAAAAGACTTCTCTGTCAAGTATCCTTGCCCTCTAATGTCATTAGATTTAGGCACACGTCTGACAGGATTTAGATAAAAATATCATTTTTTCCCATAAGATATTTTTTTTCAAAACTAAATGAGAACAGAGATGTGAAAAGCCAGCGTGACACATCAACAAAGAAGCATCTGTGTGGTTTGCTTGTTTGACTGAATCGTTAAAGCTGAGGTTTGCTTTTTTTCTCCGAACGCCTCCACAGATGCTCGGTATGATCTTGAAGTGCTTCCAGTCAAGTAAGATGTCGTCAGATGATGTGAAATGAAACAACACAAACTAAATTGTCAAACAGTAACTGACTTTGTGAGCTATTAGTGCATCCTTTGTGGACTCCAATATTTAAGTGCTGTGATCATCGGATACTTGCAGTGTAACGTGCAGTGTTAACAGCGTAGTCTATTAGCACAAGCCTCGCAGAAGTCAGCATATTGCCAACATGTTTTTAAACATACACGTCAGTTAGTTGATTGATGGGAAGTCCTTTGTCCCTTTTTCTTGTATTGCCAATGTTTGTCAAGTCTGAATTTATGCACTTATGTATGCTTCTGTATGGGGAATGTAGCTTCTGAAAAACTTTCAGTGTTATGAATATGTTCTTCTGCGCTTTCTGACCTTCTGTCGAGATACCCCTGACGTGTCGCTGATCACTGAATGACTTACTGCAGCAGAACATTTCGGTGTTATCATGCACTAAGATTTTTGACAACAATAGCAAGAAATGTAGCAGTTTTGTAATTTTGACAGGTGTTTATTACACTAAAGATGTTTGGAATCATTTCTTGCATTAGATTAGATAAAAAAAGAGAAATTTCCTACTTCAGTTTAAATCTAATATCTATCAACATATTTGTTGTTCTTAAGTCGACTCTCAGTGTGTGCGCACAGGAGATTTCAAGTTTGTTTTGCTGCATAGTTGGCTTTCAAATTAGTTTTGATGTCAAAATCTGTACTCTTGTTACACTCAGATCAAAGGTAACTTCATAGAAAAGCACCCCCCACCCTCTCTCCTCCCTTCAGCAGATGAATGAGGAAGCAACTTTCAGCTGTCAAACACTGCACAGTCACACTCTGCTTAGTGAAGCTCTAACATCCCCCGGGTAGCACCAGTAGAAAGAACATATTTTGATTTCTTTTGAAGAAAGTGAAAGACAGGAGCCTAAAACTGGTGCTACGTGTGATTCATGAGCGCTCGCTGCATGCATGATTAAATGAAGAAATCCGTTTTTCCGCAGTGATTCATTCTTGTACGTCTTTTTCTGTAATCATTTGATCTGGTTGCAGAGTTAAGGGGTATTTTTTAAAAATGTGTTGTTTTTTTTTTAAATAATATTTGTAAAAATGCATTTTCTCTCTTCGTCTGCCTGGTGTTCCACCCCGCAGTGCCTTGTTGCACTCGTCATTTTAGATGTCAGGAACATTCGCATCATAGATGCGGAAATTCACCGTGCAGGCCATGTGAAAGACGCACTTGAATTTCAAGGGTTGCCGTGGTTCAGCTTTGAGAGGACTTTCTGGTCAGGGAATGTGAAAAAAACAAAAATATGCTCCCATAGAACTTTTAAAGGAAAATATTTTTAAAGGAGCGCAGTCGTGAAAGTGCACAACAGAAGAGTCGGCCTCCTTTCCTGCCTTCTCATGGACACGTTTGTCAAATCTACACCAACAAACTGGGCCGCCCTTCTCGCCTGTGTCATCTGATCTCCATACTGTGGTCCAGCCGGGCACAGACACTGTCCATTTACATGGATTTCTACTGTGTCCCATCTGCACCACACTATATTCTATATTTGATGCCTGTTGGAAACTTTTCAGTTGTGACTGACTGAAATGAGTGAATGTTAATGTACAGTATACCTACTGTTGTGCATCTCTGCTGTACCCAAGCATGGTGGGGACCTGGAGAAGCAGATTCAAGCTCAACATTGGTTGAAAACCTCAAAAAAAATTAAATAAAAAAAATGCTGCTTTCAAAAGAAGACCCAAAACAGGAAACAGCTGTTCCTCTGAGACCTGCAGTATTTCCTTTAGGTCATTTTGCGTCTTTGAAACAACACTGTTGTACTTTGAGGAAAGAACTTTTGTGGAACTCTTTGTACCCTACAGTACAATATATTCCTGCTGTTGAGGTCAGTGTTGTAGTTTCGTTTTAAATTTACTGGTATTTATTTGCATGATATTTTGAATTTGTACATAGTCTGATGGATATTTTACATTCCTGTCTGCATCTGGATCTTCAGCTCTGTCGGGGACAGTGGTGCGATTGTGCCCCAATGTGGATATTTTGGGTAAAGTGGAGGTCGCTGAGCTCTTTGCTGCCTGTAAAGGAACGAAGCTGAAAGTTTGACTTCAGTGAAGCCTACAGTGACTTAGCGTTTGTAGTTTAAGCCTTTTGCAGGAAGTTAAAGCACAGAGCAGTTAAGATTTATGAGCAGCATACTGCCTGGTTGAACTTTATTTGTTTATTCAGCAAAAACTGATGTAAAAACACTGGAAGTGACTCGTGCATTTAACGGCTGCATAACAAATAAGGCAGTGGCATGTGTGGGGATGCCCCTTTATTATTAGGCTTTGTTTATGAAATATGTTTAAGTGTTATTTGTTTATTTCAATGTAAATTTATTTGTTCATTCGTTTGTTTATTTGAGCATCGTGAATGATATTTGCGTTGATGAGAAAGGAAGTGAATATGTTTGGAGGTTGCGCGGGCACAAGGTGCAGTTTACAAGACGACGAGCGAAATAGGACAAAGTTATCGTTATATCCCGTACGTCTGTGTCCTTTAATTTGTCAAACAAGAAGAATGTCCATGTTTTTTGCTGTAACTTTGCTTTTCATTTTGCCGACGTTGTTGTTTACTTGGGACAGTTTTCTCTCTTTGTGCCAGTCTCCTGCGCCACCTCATTTTTGTACAGACAACGTGAAGCAGTCAGCAGAAGACGAAGGCTTAACTTTGTAAAGATTTTGTCAGCCACATTACAAAATGGATATTTAAATGTTTATATCTTTGGTGATTAAATGCTATTGATATTTTTCACTTCAGCTCTGATTGGTACTTTTTCTTCGCTCATTTGTTATTTTCGTTGGGTGACCCTCACACTTCAGCACACTATTATAACGCAAAGATTTACACACTGCAGCTCTTTATAATCCCTTATCAAGGAGATGTGCAAAAAGTTACAAAATGTTACTAAAATGAACAAAGTGATTTGTAAATTATTTAAATCTTGGTGCAAAAACAACATATTAACAGCTGAAATTGGCAAGCATGATTTTGATTGTAACAAGTTAAAAACATGGGACAGGGAAGTCCCATCTCATACATTTCATTTTATAATACCTGCACCACCTAATAGAGATGTATTACATATGACAGGGTATCAATGGGCCTTTCATTGATGTGTAAGTTACCCATGTTACAGTATGCGCCCTAATGCCCCTACCTCATCTTTTTAGAGACATGTCGCTGGTATCAAATTTCAAAATGACAGATATAATTAGAAATAGAAAAAAGTGGAACAAACAAAGCAAAATACACCCGCTTGCATAGGTTTAAAAGGTCCTCACCAGGTTGTACAATAATTAAATTACACCTCAGATAAATAATAAATAAATAATGACACAATGTCACTGATTATTTAAACAAAGCTAATCAAAAATGATTAAGCAGCGTGTAAAAATCAAAGTTGAACCCAGTTCAGTAGCAGAAACCTGAAGTCACGATTTTCTTCATGACTTTTTAATCAGTCTCTCACATCATTGTGCAGGACTTTTGCCCCATTCCTCTTTCCACTCCTCTATGTTTAAGTACACTGAGGTTCATTTCTGCACAGCTCACTGTAGAGTGATGGACTTGGGCTTATAAGCCTTTCTGGACTGATAGACAGCAACAGCTGCTCCTTTAAGATCACTGCTTTTCTCCTATTGTGTTAACACAACAGCTGGTCTAGATGGTTATTTTCTTTTTATTACAATTGCTGCTGCTTACCCTCTTGATTCTTACAGAAGCAGCAAGACTTTAAATTTGTATTTTGGCTTAGATTTGTTAATATTCACATAGTATAATATGTTGTGTGTTATTCATCCAAGGTTGTATTTAAATCATTTTAGACTCTAGTAAGCAACAGATGATTTTTTTTTATGACATCCAAAAAACAACAACAAAAAACAACCTTGAATTGAAATTGGTGTACTGATTTTCTATTTTCCTTTTCACGGTCTTCTGTGGAACCAGAAAAGTAATCCAAGAGTTAAGCTGCTTGGAAACTAATCATGGTGATTTTTTCTAACTTCATTTAGAGAGGATATGAAACAGTAGGCTGAGATCTGTCGCTGACACTAAAACCTCCGGATAGAGGTTGTTGATGCTTCTATGATTCAGTAAATCAGCCGTCCTACCCAGCAACTCTTACTAGTCTTGTTTGGAAAAGTGATACCTTCCATCCACCTGGCATTGTGCCTTGTTATGTGGCTTAAGGAGAAATACACCATCCGAATTAGATATGATGTCAGTGGATCAGTGTTTGGCAAAGGAGTTTGAATTATTGTCAATTTAAAACATCATGTTGGATTTATCCAGCAGAGCTCATGAGTTTGTTGGACATAAGTTGAACTTAGGAGACACAGAACAGACGAGGCGTTCGTGGGAGACGGGGACTGATGTGGGTTTGCTGCAGAAGTGGACCTAATCCGGGTAAAACCGCTTCTAATTACAGTTAACGAAAGATGGGAACTGGAAACTGTTTTAGTACCAGATGAGTGTGTATTTCTTTTTTCTTTTTTTTTTGGTTTTTAGGTGTTGAAGGCATGTATCCTCTCAATGAAATATTGTGTGGCTGGTTGTTTTTAAAGGGTTTTATTTGTGGTCAGAAATACTGTGATTTTGATGGGATAATGACTGAAATTTGTGTGGCACACTGTCAGTGTCGCAGAGCCGTTCAGTGGTTGGTGTGGCGATTTCTTGGTGACTTCAATACCTATACTAATATTGATACAGTGATTTTGGAGCAAAGTTCAAGCTTGATTTGAAAGATTTTAAAGTTATTTGGAGAAAAATGTTACAGTAACACACCGTGCTTGGCTGTGTCAGTTGATATTTAAGCAATAAGAATGAAAAAGAGACATAAAAAACAAAGTGTAGGGAGCTAAGACTCATACAATACCAGACTGTTCCCTGTGTGTAGTTAAATAAGACCTCTAACAATAAGTAGGCATGTAAAGAATCTCACATGGTGCCATATATTCAGGAACAAACAGGTGCACTGAGAGGAGGGGAGGAGGCAGCTGTCAGGATATATTAATGACAATGGTCCCTGAAGAGGAAACATATGCTGGATTGCTGCCTTGCCCCAGAGGACTTGACTAAATAATTTGGTGTTAGAAAAAACAGCAACGCACCACACCCCAGCTTAAAAGGTTCATATCTAAAGACACTGTACAGTTGAACTCAGCATGTGTCTGCTGACATTTTAGAATAATATTTTTCACTGCTGTGCAGGACAAATACATCAGCATTAGCAGCATGCTCAATGAGAGGAAGGCTGTGCAGGTACGATGCACACAGTGGTGATGTGTTTCGTTACTTTTCGCATAAAATGTCTGAAGAAGTTTAGACATGACATGATATACAAAGTTAAAAAGCTATCTGATGCTTTGCTGCTCCTTCAACCACAACTTGTGGGTTTACACTTGTGGAATAAAAAAAAAGTAAATATGTGTAATACAGAGATAGCGAGAGCAGATCATCTCCATCTCACGCTATCACTAGCATCCTCCTCTGTCACACCAACCATCCGCGTGGTGTCCTTCATTACATCCATGAATTTCCTCTGTTCTTTTCCTCTTCCCTTATATTCAACATCCCCCATCTAATAGATCCTCTGCAAACCCAAACCATCTCAGCCTTACCTCTCTAACTCTCTCTAAACCACTTGTTACCCTTCTGTCACTAGTCACCCGTCACACTCATCTCCACCCGCTCCATCCTGCCTGGACTCTCTTCTTGACCTCTCTTGTGCGATGCCTGACCTTATGCATTTTTTTCCTTACTTTTACTGACTAGATTCCAGTCTCAAAAAACAAGGCACCAAATATAATATAATATAATATAATATAATATAATATAATATAATATATCCAATAAAAACTATGAAGACACTCAGATTTGAAGGATTTTGTTTTTATTGTGGAACGTTTAAAGACAGCAGACTGGCCAAGTCAACAACATTTAATGAGAGCATTTCAACGAAAAATCATATTTTATGATTCTCATTTGAGTCTCTCATAGAAGTTGCAGCTTATTCTTCAGCTTCCTTTCCCTGAAACAGACAGAAAAACACACACACACACACACATGATAAGTTCACTCAAACTGTGGAAGGAAGACTTTGTCCCTGTGAAGACAGAGAAAATATTCTGTCTTTAAAGAGACCTTTTTTGATCATTTCCAGTACTGTGTTTTAGTTGTTCATTATTTAAGATAATACCCATTTATCTTATACACAGTTTATTATTTGTCTGAAACATAACCATTTTAGCTCCTTTCCCCCTGCCTTTAAGCTGGCTTTCTTCTGATTGGCTGCCCCTCACATTTAGAAGATTTGATGGGTGAAGTTTACAGTGACAGCTTAGGTATACCTGCTTTCTTTGACATCATGAAGATTTTAAAGCAAAACACAATCTCTGAAACTGAGTGTTTAGAGAGTGTTTGTTTATGTACACATTTGTCTGTGTGTGTGTGTCAGAAATTAAGCAAAAATAACTTGACTAATAATTTCACCTGAGAAGTTTGAAATTTCATAATTAGGGAAAAATCAATTATGAATGCATGAATTTTACGTATTACTTACTTTTCCAATTTCACGACTCTTAGCCCTGAGCTTGTTGACCTGGGACTCAGCGATGTCAGCGCGCTCCTGAGCTTCCTCCAGCTCGTGCTGAACCTTCCTCAGCCTTGAAATGTGAGTATTGGCTTGCTCCTCCTACAATGAGATAAAACAATGGAGTTAACTGTCATAAAGACTGAAGCTACAGAGAATAAATGACTGACTCATAAACAGCAAAGTATTTAATACTGTGAAACATTTTAACTTACAGCCTCCTCAGCCTGTCTCTTGTAGGCCTTCACTTTCAGCTGCAGCTTATCCACCAGATCTTGAAGCCTGGCAATATTCTTCTTGTCCTCCTCTGTCTGCAGTTTACATAAAGTCACAGCAAATGTAATCATATGGACTTTCCCGGGATACCAGCATCAACAAAATCAAATAAAACACCTTCCTACCTGATAGGTAAGCTCTTTCACTCTTCTCTCATACTTGCGAACACCTTTGACAGCTTCAGCTCCTCGTCTTTGCTCAGATTCAACTTCAGACTCAAGCTCACGTACCTAAAATATGAACAATGTATGACAATGATGGGAGTTCAAAAATAAATACTGTGAAAAAAACAGTTGAGGTCATGCTGGTGAAAAATGGTCTTTACCCTAGCCTCCAGTTTCTGGAGCTGCTTCTTGCCGCCTTTCATGGCCAGGTTCTCAGCTTCATCTAGGCGGTGCTGCAGGTCCTTCACTGTCACCTCCAGGTTCTTCTTCATCCTCTCCAAATGAGCACTGGTGTCCTGCTCCTTCTTCAGCTCTTCTGCCATCATGGCAGCCTGAAATTTCATATCATATGTATTGTTGTAACTGTCATTTGTATTGTTGTACCAACTAATATAGTTGGTAGAGTAATGCTACTGCACTATAGACATTCATCAGGGTGGCTCACATCAGTGATGGCCTTCTTGGCCTTTTCTTCAGCATTTCTGGCCTCCTGGACAGCATCTTCCACTTCACCTTGGATCTGAATGAAATCAGCCTCCAGCTTCTTCTTGGTGTTGATAAGGCTGGTGTTCTGAAAGGAAATACAGGATAATGAATCACATATTTGGACTTTCACCCTTCAAATTATAAAAATATGAAGTTTTTGAATCGTAACTAACCTGAGAGTGCAGCAGTCCCACACGCTCGCTGGCATCAACCAGCTCCTGTTCAGCAATCTT